ATCTTTATGCTTTTTTTTTTTATATATTTTTCATTAGAATCGGGTTCATCACTACAATTATGAATCTCTGGCAATGCTAACACAAAGGTCTTTCTTAGGTTGGCATCGAGATTTGCCAGAGCATATGAAGATAACTTGACAGAAGGGCATGCTTCAACGTACCAAGTATAACCGTTTCAAGAATGAATCTGTGACACCGGTCGATGACCTCTTCCACAACCTGTCTATGAACAGTAAAGTCTCTACAGTAGCCACCACCACTGCTACATCTCCATGTACGGCTGCAACTGAAGTCCTGCAAAAAGAACAAGAAGATGGATCCACCACTCTTTGTACATTTATTCACAAAGTGTCCCACTTGAAACTCTCCAGCTCGGGCAACCTGCTGGGAATAAAAAACCTTTCCTCTGCAGTCAGGGAGCTTGCAAGTTCCAAGTTACAGGGTAGCTCTTCTGCTCTTAATTCAGCAGCAGGAGTATCAGACAACACATGTAACCTTGTCTCTACCCCTCCGTGGTCTCAGCAGGACGTGAGCAAGATGAGCACAGGGAAAAAGACACGGTCGGAAGAAATGAATCTGGTAGGTGAAGATTGGAATCAAAGTAGCAGCTTTGTCAATAAGCCTTCACGAGGATGGTTGCACTCGAATGAGAAGATCCTGGGACCTGGAGTGACGTACGTTGTGAAGGTTGGTCTGATTTCTTCTCTTCACTGTTTTTTTATTTATTTTTCTTTCATTTTTTTTTATCAATGAACATTTAAGATTGCAGGTTAACAGCTTTTTTTATACTCTGTAGAAAAATCTTTCCTATTCTTGTACATATCTGCCTTCAAATGCATGGCTTAATTTAAAAACAAAACAAAAAAAAAACAGGTCTGCTATAGAAAAAATACCTTGCATTTCTATGATAATCTTAATTTACATTCTGTACTGTATATTCTGAGTATTCAAGATTCTCGGTCTCCCAGATTTTTACATGTAATTGAAAGAACGCAGGATTCAATCATACAGTGCTGGCTTGATAATACGCATGTTCGAGTTTTGGAATTATTTAAACAACAAGAGAGCAATCACATTAAATTAAATCATTAGGGCTTTTTTGTTTCAATTAAACAAATCATCCTTTTCTTTATTATAATCCCTAGATGCATTTTTCCAACCTGTTGTAGAGAAGTATGATTAAAAGGTGTTCGTGAATTTTCTTTTGATTGTGAGAAAGATTTAGAGTTGTACAAATTATTTTTGCCTTAGTAAATCTTTTGAGGCAGATTATTTCATAAAACTGCATGGACTGCAGGCACGTATTAATTATATTGTGGACTATTCATGGGATCTGCATTTTTCCCCTTTTGTAAAACCAATAGGTTTGCTAAATGATAGCAGTATGCACTTTTTACATGTTATTTCCTCAGGAGATATTTCATATACAACATAGCAATGGTAACAGATGTGACCCTTTAAATGCTCTCCTGCGCTCTGATCATATGATTTTACAGATAGTAATTGCTCTTCGATATGAATATGTTTATGTACATGCACACATATCTATGTATCTCATATCACATATACAGTACAATAAAGGAGAAACATTTGGAGGAGGAGGAAGTTTAGGCCCTTCATATGTTAGGCTATGTTCAGTGGACACATATAAGCATTTTACCATATTCTTACCCCATTGAAACATTGTTGAAATTGCCGTTTTTGTGAAGACGCCATTCATAAATGTAACGCTTCATCAATGCTGCATTATTTTTTAAAATAATCTCAAGAGTATGGTAAACAAAAGGTTGGAACACGAAAGTAAAATATGTTGGCTAGTATCTTGTGCAGATACCAAGGCAGATGGCTGTATTAACCTGTTATATGTATTCATTTTTCTTTGCATAACCTTGTACAATATGGTGATTGTAATCTTTCAGAGTAGTGCCTTCAGTATAAAAGTACTAATAACTATAGATTCTTAACCATCATCGTAGTTTTATGAATGATTAATAACATTAATAAAATTCAAGGGACTGCATAAAGTATGTTTTTTTTTTCTACCAGGCCTGCAGACAGAACTATCCATACTATAGCTGTATTTTCAAAAGAAACATTGTGTCCGAAATATTTTTATGTTTGTTTGTGTTGCAATTTATGAACTAGGATTTGTCAGATGTTTAGGAGAAATCTTATTTTTTCTAGTCTAAGGGGATTTACTTCCATTGTGCACTACATAACACATGCAGAAAGTAATCTGTTGTAGTTACCCTATTTGGAACCTTGGGTCTTGTTAGGCCATAATTATAAACCAGTGTTGCATAGATATACCAAAAGTAAAACAGTGTCCATCTATGAACCTTCATTTTAAAGCTGCTTCTATAGATATAACATACATTTCTTCCAATCAATAAAATGTTTTTTAAGTCTACTAGGGTTGAACATGTATTCTTCATGTTGCCTTCTTGAAAAAAAGGCCATACAAAACACACATTTTGATGCTTCTCCTATTGTACTGCACTGTGAAAAAGGCTTTATAATAGATAGAAATAAATCATGCATAGTAGATTGAGATGTATGATCTACTAATAGTAAACCTAAGTTAAATGCTTTATGTTATATACCAACTTAACAGTGGTATGTGTGGCATTCTGCTACCAGTGTGGAAGAGTTACCACTCCAAAGTTCATGTTATGGTCTGCTAGAGGTTTTAGTAATAGACTTTCTTAAAGAGATACTATAGACACCAGAACCACTACAGCTTAATGTAGTGGTTATGGTGTCTTAGCCCGTCCCTGAAGTGTTAGCACTGTAAACAGTTTAAATTACTGGCTAGTAACACCTTTAGTAGCAGTCACTCATACGACCACTAGAGGGGCTTCCTGTGTCAGTGTTACAAGGAGACGCTGAACATTTTCCATAGAGATACAGTGATTTAATGCATCTCAAAGAGGAGATGCTGATTGTCAGTTTGCCGCGCATGCGCAATATGGAAAAACATTGCATTGGTTGAAATTATCAACATTGATGATCTCAGGCAGGGAAGTAGGGCCATCCATAGCCCTTTTTACTGCAAAGAGATGGGGGCAGCCAACTAAACAGCCACTTCACTATAGTGTCAAGAATATATGTTTGTTATAGTTTTCCTTTAACAGAATCCATGTTGGGTACAATTTATTCCATCGCCCAACAGTGTGTATTCTGTGGTCAGATACTGCTAACCCGGGGATACATAGAATGAACATCTAAGAATTGCACTGTATCTGTAATTGTTTATAACATGACCCAAACATGCATTGACAACATTTAAAAGCCTGTATACTACCACTGTGGTTGGCCATGCTTAAATAAAACATTCTCAGTACTGTAACTGGAAAATTAAATTATGGCATATACCATTGTGTCACAAGTCTGTCTAGAAATTTAGACTTAGTAACATATATTTCAAGTCCAATTGTATTCTTCGTGACTATATTATGTTTATAACCCAATCCAGGTCCAGTATATATTTCTTACTACTAAATAATAGAATGGTCATACCCCTCCTTTCTGACTATTGTAAGGTATGTTGCATTTTAAATGTGTTGAAGTGGACTTGTTATCTACAAATGTAAATTTGACAAAGCCCAATTTAAGAAACAGTCTATGGACCAATCATAAAAGGGCACCATTACTGCTACCCACTGTTATTCTGGTTTCTTAGCTAATAAGGTAAGTTATAGTTGTTAGATGATTTAAAAAAATAAATAAAAAACCCAACAATACAACTAAACAGAATATGCTATGGATATATAATATATTTCAATATGAGTAGATTATCTTCATCAGTTCTTGATGAGCTCCGATGTCCATCTCTGAAGATGTTCTCACTCACTCTATCTTGTTTATTTACGCTTTCTTGTTCTAATGCTTGTTTTGATAATGCCAACTGCTGAATGTTGTCATGACCAGGGCTGTTTGAATTACGTACAGTACAGTAATGGCACCATGACCTGCTAACAGTGGAAAGCATTTTGTTATGCACATACACACTGCACTGCCATGTATAGCTGATCTCTGAAACTAGTAAAATACATTTTCCTAGATAATTTCTAGTAATATGACTATCGAAATATAAAGATGAAATTGTATAATCTGTATGTCCCCACCCCCCCACCTAGAATGTTAATATGTATAGGTCATAGTTATATATGTTTGATTTATATATATTTGAAAAGTATTATTTTCTTTTTAGTGAGTAGTTTGAGCATAGATGTATAGCCAATATCAGTTTTGTGTGTTTTTACAGATTTTCCTTTTGTTTAAGTCATTAGGACAATACATATTTGCATATCTGCTAACATACCAAAATAATTTGTTCTATACTAAAAACTACAGTGTCATACTTAAAACTAAACAACATAAATAATAACTTTTGTCTTGGAATAATAATGTAATAATCACCAAAGCTGTCCGTTGTTTTAATCGAGCAAAACATTTTCAGTCAGAATCACAAGCTAAAGAAGGAGGATCCTATAATATCAATGAATTTATGCAATATGACCAGTGTTCTGCTTTACGCAAACAAGAGCTCTTATATGTTTCATCAGATCCATGGGCTCTAGATGTCCATGTTCTATATCACCAGGCTTTTCAACAGATATGGAAATGAAAGGACACAAATGGTGCAGTTCGTTTATAGTTGGCCAAGTAGCATTTTATCAGGCATTGAGAATGACATATTCAAGTCAATTCAAGGCTCTGCAGTTAAGTGTATTCTCCTCAATCTTTTTGTTTTATTGTGGTGAGAACACAATAAAACCCTCCACAGTAAAAATAGAAAAATTACTGTTGTGCATCACCTGCAAACCACAGTTTGGATTTCGGAAAGTCCACCTCGGCCACAGAAACTATTAAATCGTGTTTTCCCACCTCTCCCTGAATTTCCAGGTTGACATGCAAATGAGCAAAGACAGGCAATGCGCTGATTCTCTAGTGCCAGGGCTCAGAAGGTCATACTGTATGCATCTGGCAGGCCTGAAGCACTGGACCACTGTAATCTGGATATCCCCCTACCCTATATGCAAAAAGGGAGGGAGCACAGGGCCACTGTAATCTGGATATCCCTCTACCCTATATGCAAAAAGGGAGGGAGCACAGGGCCACTGTAATCTGGATATCCCTCTACCCTATATGCAAAAAGGGAGGGAGCACAGGGCCACTGTAATCTGGATATCCCTCTACCCTATATGCAAAAAGGGAGGGAGCACAGGGCCACTGTAATCTGGATATCCCTCTACCCTATATGCAAAAAGGGAGGGAGCACAGGGCCACTGTAATCTGGATATCCCTCTACCCTATATGCAAAAAGGGAGGGAGCACAGGGCCACTGTAATCTGGATATCCCTCTACCCTATATGCAAAAAGGGAGGGAGCACAGGGCCACTGTAATCTGGATATCCCCCTACACTATATGCAAAAAGGGAGGGAGCACAGGGCCACTGTAATCTGGATATCCCTCTACCCTATATGCAAAAAGGGAGGGAGCACAGGGCCACTGGAATCTGGATATCCCCCTACCCTATATGCAAAAAGGGAGGGAGCACAGGGCCACTGGAATCCGGATATCCCCCTACCCTATGTGCAAAAAGGAGGGAGGATTAAAATGTAATTGATATACATTTTATTAATATTAATAAAAAATATTAAATTTCTCCCTTACCCTTAGCGCTCCATCTCACTCTGGGCACAATAAGACCTCTATCCCACTCCACAAATTCATACACACTGCATCGTCCTAACACATTATATCCCCTTTACACGTACTACACTCTCTCTATAATTACAAGACACACACACTACATACACTACAGCTGCGGCAGAGGTGCAGCCTAGATTCTTTATGCCCATCTGCCTGTCTCATTAAGCTGAAATATATATCGGTGAGGAAGACCTATGATCGTGTTCCTGGGTCATGAAGGCACACAATGGTGCCACTCACTGCATTTATGCACACGGCAGTGGGGTGCTTTACATCCCTTGCAACACAGAAGGTATGCTCTTGTGAAAATCTCAAGGTGTTGGACTTTTGTGACATGCTAAAACCAACAAGTTTGGCACTACCAGTCATTCCGGACTTAAGTGATTAGATCACAAGACATTGCCATTTTAATTTTTTGTCAAACTATAATGAAACCTCTTGACCGCATTTGCTTGCTTAGTAGATAAAGATGTAACCATGAGATCAGTGATTCAATATTTGTTTTTAGAGCAGATGTATCTTATAAAGTAGTCACCTAGTGAATATTTGTTTACAATGGTTTTGTTATGCATTTACAGCTTAATTAACTCACTAACATGCACATCATGGTTTTGGGACAATCTAAGAAGTATGTTAATCAAACATTGCAAAGTCCAGTTATGTTATTATTATATTAAATTTTATAGCGCCAACATATTCAGCAGTGCTAACTATTTAATACCATGGATATAAAACAGGTTATTTAAAAAAACAAAACCAAGAGTGCCAGAAATATGAAATGGATCATGTATGGGAAAGATTTAGCATTCATTTCAGATTGTAGTGGGCAATGGGGGTATTGAAGGGCCAATTATGAGCAAGTTGAATTGAAGGTGAGAAATTATGTGTTCATAAATCACATTATGTGCAATAGCTATTGCATTGGTAAGATTTTTGGTAAGATTTTACTGCAAATATGCAGTGCAGTTTTGAGTATAATTTATCTAAAATATCAAGCAAGGATGCATTTATATGGCAACTGTGTGTTTGCTTTCAGGGGTATGTTTGTATGGAGGATTAGTGTGACTGAAGACAATATTGTACTTCACTTTTCTTCTGTTCAATTTACTATGAAACATTTGCCATCTTGTCTAGTGTAGTGTGAGGCAGTGCATGGAGCTGTCCTTCAGCTAGTTCTGATCAACATAGCTCCCTTGTGGCATGCACATTATTGATTGCAGGAAACCAGGACATAAAGTTACGGAGCGAAAGAGAGCTGAGCTGATACCAGAGAGGCACAGCTCCCTATCGATGTTTTGCTTATCGCCGGCATGTGCACCGATCTTTGAGCTTCAAGGCAAGAAAGTCACTATTGTTTCCCTCCTACAAAGCAGTTGGAAGTAGTGGCTATTGCCAAAATAAAATTCTTCCTTGCCAGTTCACCAGGTACCATTTACCTCTCTCCATTAGCGATTGAAAGATTTTTTGTCATATCTCGCTTCATGGAATATTGATGTGGCTCCAGTGAGGCTACTCGCACCACTGGCACTGCCCAAAGGGGGCAGACCTGCCTTGAAAGGGGTGAGTCAACCCAAAAAATCAGCTGTTCATGCTTGTGTGAATGCATGCCAAGCATCCTGTTAATCACACAGGCCACACTACTTGTCCTTAGCATGGTGTGAGCATGTGGTCACTCTATGCTTTCTGCAGACAGTTGCCTGGTGTCCTCAAAAGTGGAACAGCAGGGAACAAAGTTGGGACAGCTTGACAATGGGACACCCTGAAACTGACTAACCTTATGAATCTGGACTTCTGAGTGTATATGATGATTCTAATAGTGTCATTATGATTTTCTAGTAATGCAATTTTTTTTCTTAATTTGTTTTTTATTGAGATTCAGTAAACCGTATTGTGGGTTGCTATAGTCTTCCTCCAGAACCAAGTGTTAATAAAACAGTTATGTAAGCAAGGTGATAAATGACTCTAGGCAGGCTGACCAAACTTTATGACATTGAAGAGTTAACTAGAAAGCAGTACACTTTATATTGCAAACATGTCAAATGCATAGACACAGGTCTACAAGCACACGTGTAAATGCATTTTACCCAAATCTGCATAGATAGAGCACACCGAGCCTGACGCCTGAGACCCTCTCCCACCTCTCAACCGAGAGGCATAATTTTCTGCATACAAGACTATTCTGCTAAAGAGATGATCATGCAACAAGCAAGGACTGCAAGGGCATGGCAATTTGAGAGGCAAACAGTAGAGTTCTCCCACATTATACTGTAGTCACTTAGAGTCCTTAGGCTGGTAGCTCTGGCCCTCCAGCAACACCAACTGTGCTACTGATGGCATTTACCGTTCGCCATCTCAGCAAGAAGAGGTAATACCAAAGCTTTATAAGTAACGGGTCAGAGGATCCAGAGTTCCTTACAGCACTGAATCTTCCACACATGCAAATGTCAGATTGGTCTCTTTACTCAATGGCTGATCAGAGCATCATGTGACCACCTTGAATCTGCAGAAGCTCATCCAGCACCTTTACAGCTCACAGGAGTGTACTTTCCTTTCTTGTTATGATTTAATACCCTACCTTTTGGGAACCGATACCCCAGGGACACTTACCTCTGGACATATTGTTTCTAGAGATGCTAGAGAGATGTCCATATGACAAACAGAAGGCTACAGACAAGATTAAACCTTATATAGGGGAGTTACCATTCTACAACCACAAAGTGTACTTACCTGCTGAAACCTAAATATTCATCGGCAATTCGTACTGAAATCTCCACATGAATGCCCTCTCTGTGATGAGTATGGTGTTAAGAGGGGATGATATGTAATGTCTGAGAATTGCATTAATAACTTTCACATATACTTACCTTTACTTGTTATCTTATAGAGGCATTGGCATGGAAGGGCAGGGAGTGATGTGGTTGATTGTTTTTTATGTATTTTCTTTATAACTTCATGAATGTATATATAAACTGATCTATCTCTTTACGCTTGCATAGACATATTTCACAGGTTCAATCAACTTTGAAATAGGGTTTTTTTGCATATAGGAACCACATCTGCCTTCCTCCGATCCTCTGAAACACTTCCTGAAAGAAAAGAATCTTGAAAGATTAAAAACAGAGGTTCACTTATTTCTACACTTAGTTCCTTAAGTACTTGTGGATAAATACCATCATTACAATTTATCTGCAAGTTTTTAGCAGCATTCATTTGCACATCTATTGCCATCGGTTCTTCCTTAATATATACGGAGGAGAAATAGTTATTTAAAATTTCTACCTTTTCCTGGTCTTCATTAACTAACACCCCCATCCCAGTTTTTAGTGTACCTACACTTTTATTTTTAGTTTTTTTTAAATTTATGTACTTAAAAAATGCTTTGCGGTTGATTTTGTTCTCTTTGGCTATCATTTTTTAATTTTGAAGTTTAGCGAATCTAATCGCCTTTTTGTATGCATTATTGGCTTCCAAATATCTTTTATAGGATGCCTCTGATTTGTCAGATTAAGACTTTGAATGCCCCTTTCTTATTGATAATTTCTCGATTCACTTTCTCACTAAGCCACATTGGTTTCAAATTGTTTCTTTTATATTTATTACCCAATGGTACATACTGAGACATGTACCTTTCTAATATTTGTTATTATTATTATGTCATTTATATAGCGCCATCAAATTCCGCAGCGCTTTACAATGGGTGGATGAACAGACATGTAGTTGTAACCAGACAAGTTGGACACACAGGAACAGAGGGGTTGAGGGCCCTGCTCAATGAGCTTACATGCTAGAGGGAGTGGGGTAAAATGACACAAAAAGGTAAGGATAGTATTAGACTAGTGACAGTTGCAGAAGATGAATCAGTCGGGAGCTATTAACAGTTTAATTGATACGCTTTTATGAAGAAGTGGGTTTTTAACAATTCCACAGGAACGGTGCAGCCCTCGAGAAATCTTGAAGGCGAGCATCAGAGGTGGGAGTACGGACAGAAGATGGACTTAAGTCTTCAGCAGATCATAAGGGCCTAGACGGGACATACTTGTGTATAAGGGAGGATAGATAGGTGGGAGCAGCATTATGTAGCGATTTGAAAGCAAGAACCAGAATTTTAAATTGAGCTCTATATTTTATAGGAAGCCAATGTAGGGACTGACAGAAGGGTGAGGCATGGGAGGTGCGGGCGGACAGGAAGATGAGCCTCACTGCCGCATTCATTATGGACTGTAATGGCGCAAGTTGGGAGCACGTAAGACCACTGAGAAGCGGATTCCTGTAGTCAAGGCGAGAAAGGAGAGTGGAATGGACCAACACCTTAGTTGCATCTGGCGTTAAGTAGGGGCGGATGCGCGCAATGTTTTTGAGATGGAAATGACAGGATTTGGCGATAGACTGAACATGAGGCTTGAAGGAGAGGTCGGAGTCAAAGAGAACACCTAGGCAGCGAGCCTGCGTGGTGGAGCTGTTGGTAGCACTGTAGACTTGGAGGGAGACAGACACAGGAGTAACAACACTTAAGGGAGGAAAGACCAGAATTTCAGTTTTGGTCAAGTTTAGTTTAAGGAAGTGAGCAGCCATCCAGTTAGAAATAGCAGAGAGGTAGTCGGAGACACTAGCCAAGAGGGATGGGGAGAGATCAAGAGAGGACAGGTAGATTTGCATGTCATCTGCATAGAAATGATATTGGAAGCCAAAGGAGCTAATGAGTTTACCAAGGGAGGCAGATGGAGAACAGTAGAGGACCAAGGACTGAACCTTGGGGGACACCAACAGAGAGCAGTTGGGAAGAAGAAGCAGAGCCAGAGAAAGAAACACTGAAAGAGCGCTGGGAGAAGTAGGAGGAGCACCAGGAGAGAGCAATATCTTGTAGACTGATATTGCGGAGGATGAGAAGAAGCCGTTGACGATCAACAGTGTCAAAAGCCGGGGCGGAGCCTGGCTGTGGAGCTGATCAGACGCGTGTAGCACAATCTCCAACCTGAACTCACACTTTAGTTTTGCATTATAATCTCACCCAAAAACGCACCACCCTGATAGAGGCTGCAGATTGGACCGCACAGAGACTACTCCTGTAACACTGAGCTGCCGAGAACGCGGGCTGCATCACCGGGGCCTACCGCAGCAACAACAAGCCTGACTAGAGGCCTGAGTGGAGGTAAGGGCGCAAGTGAGGCAGCCGATCACCCAGCCCGGGACTCCCCGAGGGCAATACTAACACTGCAGAGGACCACCCACAAGCCTTCCTCCCCCCCCTTGCCGGTGGGGGATATCCCGGCATCGGCAGCACACCCTCCACTGATTCACACACCCCAGAGACAGCAAACCCCTAGACTCACCGACTCCAAAATGGCAGATGCCACCAGCAAGCCAGCAAATATGGGGGACTGCGGGGAGCAGCTGAATAATACAATGAACAAGCTGGATGCAATCCTAGCTGCCTTCTGGACCAGGATCTCAGAGAGTGCACAGACCACAGCTGATACCAAGCGGGTTGCTCCCGAGCCACAACACCCGGCTCTCACAGGCCCCAGGGGGCGGACACAGTCCGATAGCCACCAGAGGCTCCCCAACAAGGTGCCGAAGACGGGATCGGAGACTCAAACAGACACACAGAGCCTGTCTCAATACAAGCACCCGCCTCCAGCCGCATCAAAACCACACCAGATATGTGGCACCCAGCTCACCAAGACGGCGCCAACCACCCAATGGAACAATCCTGCTACACCATAAGCCGACGACCCGGTACTTAACCGGATACTTACCGCTGATGTTCCGGGTGATAGGGACCCCCAGGGTATGCACCAGGAGCCCAGAAGGGATCGGATGAGCACAAGCAGAAAAGCAGAGTCTGTCAGGCATGTCATACCATAGATGGACTTTCACACCATGCCGTCAAGCATATGAACTGATTCCCATACGTCAGCAAATCATAACATAACACCTGACTTAAAATTATAGTTATTTCCCATATTGAAGAGCCCATAACCATGGCCCCACACATTTTTTTACTACACCCGCTTATGTTTCCTGTTATTATCCTGTTATTACCTAATCTTGTCTCATGGGACTCCTTAAGTCTGAATTAGCACTAGCGATATTGATGCTAACATGTCTGAATAGTTCATAACGTGCAACATATTTCCTAACCATACCAGATGTCGTTACTAATAATGCAATGCCTTAAACTTACAAACCTCACCGCTACTAGTCATGACAGTTGCACGTTCAGTCTAGCATGCTAAACTATACTATCTTTATGTTTACCTACCTGTATTCCTCATGTCATATACATAAAAATGTGCCGTCTACACTGTAAAATGTGTTGAAAATATGCGCAGAAGCTATCGTGGGTCTACGCAGCTGTTGTCAATCTGAGCACGCGAAAAATAAAGAATTTAAAAAAAAACAAAACAGTGTCAAAAGCCGCAGACAGGTCAAGGAGAATTAGGATAGAGTAGTGACCACGAGATTTTATCCTCAGTGTTCTTTTCACTAAAGAGTTTATGCCATTTATCCTCAGTGTCCTTTTACTAAAGAGTTTATGCCAGTCAATATATTATAAAGCTGCCTTTAACTTATAGAAAGTGGCCTTTTAAAAATTATGTTTTAGTATACTCCAAATTAATTTCTTCTCTGGGCCTCCGATACCATCTTTGAGTCAAAGACATATATACCAATAAACACTTCTGCACGTTGTTGAATCTGAACATCCCCGAACTCCCAAGATTCCTCCAGCTCTCACATTTTCATCAACATTTACCTGACTTTTTGAGATCCACATGCTCACAAACTCACTTTGAGTCTCTATGCACACAGATGACTCCTCCTCCACGTTAACTGACTTTTATATGCAGATCTGAGGAGATGCACCATTTCCGTACTTCAATAAATACTGGGAAAGGATTGGGTAAATATGCTCAGTAGAAGAGCTCATCTTGTCCTCTGCGGACAATCTTCAGAAATACAAATCTATCACATTTCACTGGACACGAAGGCTGTCATCTGGACCTTCTGCCCTAGTATCTGGGACACTGGTCCAAACATAGTGCAATAGTCTGTCATGTTACCCACAGATGTGAGCAGATCTGGCGGTGGTGATGGCTCAATCCCTCCCACCTCCCTTTTTTATTTTCTCTCATAGTATTGCAACCTCTTTACCCCATCCTCTACCGTGAAACCTCTTTCCTTTCTACACTCCTAGCCATCACTTTTATGCTTTACAGTAGAAGTTTAAAGCAACACTATAGGGTCAGGTACACAAACAATGAGGCAAATCGGGGCTGATCAAGCACAAGCCCTTGCCAATCAGCATCTCCTCATTCCATTGAATCCATGCATCTCTATGAGGAAAGTTCAGTGTCTCCATGCTGAGGTGGAGGTGGAGACACTGAATGTCAGTGCTGCACACTTTGCAGCACTTCCCCAAGAAGCACCCCAAGTAGCCATACGAAGAGAGGCCAGTGCAGGTATCCCTAGGCTGTAATGTACACACTGCATTTTCTCTGAAAAAACACTGTTTACTGCAGAAAACCTGAAGGGAATGATTATACTCACCAGGACAAATACAATAAGCTGTAAACTATAGTGTCCCTTTGATATTATATAGACACAGATTTAAATCTCTGTAACATTACATTCTGTTTCTACTAATCACTGTAAATTGAATGGCATGAACTAAGTTATGTAAATGCTTAAAGCAACACTGTAGTCACCACTGGGGGTCCAGTTACCAGGGGAGGGCAGGTAG